GACTGGAGTGGTGTATGACATCACATGTGACAGCTGTGGGGAACACTACATCAGTGAAACAGCAAGACCCTGAACAAGAGACTAAATTAAAACAGAATCGTCCAATGGCAAAAGCCATCTTTGAGCAGAGATAAAAGTTATTAGTTCCCCTCATATACAACCACCTGTTACCAGAATCCTGAGTGTATTACAGAAAATGTAATATGCTGATTAAGTCCTTGAGATGTGGTTGAATGGAAAAAGATTCTATATGTACCTTGAGTTAAGATTTGTACAATACATCTTTTATAGTAAGCTCAACATTTATGAACCTCAAGGTCAATAAACTATTATGCTGCCTCTGCTTTACTTCATTATTTATTCAAATGTATTTTTAAGATTATTTTTTGGGGCTTTTATTTTAATTCAATAAAAAATGAAATGTTTCTTTTAGCTGCTTTAACAAAAGCATTTCAATCACTGCTTATCTCATAATTTCTGTTATGCTATTTTATTTTTTTATAATGAGAAAAGTATTTGATCTACCTCTGCCTTTTCCATTAAGCTTTCAATTTGACCAATTATTATTTGCATTAAAACCCAACTACTGTTTAGGTTTAGCTTTTATACCCGTCCATATTCTCTGCATCACTCTCTATCCTTCTGTTTTTCTCTTTTACTCTGTCATCATATTCCCATCCGTCAGCGAGATGGTCTAGATATAGATTTTATATTAGCTGTCATGGCTCCGATGCTGCTTAGACGGCAGTGATTCACGCCACTCTTCTACTCAGGCCTTCACCTCAGCACTATGTATCTGAGTGTTGGCCAGCGGTGTCACTTACTAATCTTTGTAATTTCTTTATAAGATGTGTCCCGCTCCAGCTCTTTCCTCTTCACTTTCACTGCTGTCACACCTGCTGCTGTCTGACAGAGCATGAATGGCAGCACACCTCTCACAGAGAGTCACTCAAGTAAGAGAAGATTCTCAGCTTAGTGGAGTACAGGCATTGTAACAGGAGCTCAAACACTTGACCTGAAGTGGAAGGAGTTTTTTTTATAAATCACTGATATTTTGGTCAAGTATCCACATTTTTTGGGTCGGAGAAGGATGGGGTTGCAACTAATGGTTATTTTCAATATCAGTAAATCTAGAGATTTCTTTATCCATGGCAATGTCGGTCATTCCACCACTTTGGTTCAGACGGAAATATCTCAACAATTATTGGATGTCATGAAATTTGGTGCATCCTTATGACTGCTGAGCCCCTGACTTTTCATTGTACGTCATCAGATCAAATGTCCAATACCTACAAAACTAACATTCCCACCAGCCTCAGAAGTACTTTGTGTTTAGCGCTAACCCACCCTAAACCAACATGATGGACATAGTAAACATTACACCTACTAAACATCAGCATTCTACTTCCTGTAGACTATTTACAAAGGATGTGTGGCCCTTGAATTATGTTGCTTGACTTATAATAAAAATTAAAGGAGTAAAAAGTGTATAGCACATTCGTGCATGTGCTTATGGATGCACTACAGATGTTTCCATCAGGAATAGGGACAGTTCTTTCAGTGCTTAGCCAACCTACCGAGCGCTTTCCACCATCAATGTAGCATTCAGTACGAAGGAGTAAGCCTCCTGGAGCTCTTTAGAAAAGAGTTCAGCACGACAGCTAACCATTAGAATACTGACAGTCTGTCAGAAAGAGCCTATGACTCACAGGCTAGCAACATCCTTGACAACTACATTAATTGATTGACACACACAGAGAACTCAATAAACGTCTATAAGCACTGAAAAGAAGTATGATATTATAATTCTAATTTTAAATGGTGACAACCGGAACAATGTGGTTGTGAATATTGAAAACTGGGGCCTTTTAGTGTTTTACAGATATTTGTCAGGACTCTGGACACCCAGTTTGATTGCGGGACAATCCCAGACAAATCTGGTCCCCATACATTAGGGTAATAAAAAAGGAGCGAGGAGGGAAGAAAAAATGGAAGAGGGATTTAAGACGGGCGTGTAGGAGAAATGAAAGACAGGAAGGACTTATATGGAAAGGAAAGGAGGGAGGGAAGGATGGAACAATAGAACAAGTAAAGGGAGGGAGGGCGTGAAGGCAGTGTTATCATGCTACAGGGAGTACAGAGTGAATATAATTAATGTAAAGTTATTTTAACTGGATGAATGTCTCTGCGCGCTCTTTTAACCTCCCTCCTGTCTCAGATTGTCTTTCTCTCCTTCCATTAAGTGCATTCTTGTCATTTCCTGCCTCTTAGCTATGTCTCGATCTCCTCCTGTCTTCATTTAAACTTTTTATTCCTGTCTTTCTCATCCCTCTCTCTTTGTTGTTATCCTTGTTCCTTTCTGCTATATCACGTTCCTAGTCCCACCCTCTCCTCCTCCTTGTCTCACATTGTGTATTAATACTATATTAAATTCTCTTCTTCTTCTCCTCCAATATTTTCTCCTCCTCTTGTCTGTCCGCTTCTCTACCTTACCTCCCCCCCGTCTGTTCCACTGTTTCTCTTCTCCTTGAAAACATTCATGAAAATGTAATGTGCATTTAAACATTGGTGAATCACAGTCATTTTGTGCCATTACGATAATTACTGTAAACAAACAAGACCATTACAGGAAGATTTGCATCTCCTACCGGCCTCCATGAAGCATTTTGTATTACATGATCCTGGCTGAGGGCTGCCATAAAATGTGCCGGACCATTTCACTGGAATATGATGCTTTTCCTTTTGCCTAAATTGAACCAAATTGAGAGTTTCTGGTAATAGCAGATGGCGAAGGGAGTGAAAGAATGATGGAGAAAATTACTTTCAACATGTTAATGTGAGGAACATGCAACGACTTCCTTGCATTTGAGCTACTACGGTGGGAAAGACATACTGTAAAGTGTTCAGTTGTTTCTGAATTCATGTTGACTACATATCAAAATGACTCAGTTTGTAAAACTGATGGTGTTGGTTGTGTTGATGTAAATTGGGATCCCACAAGGCAATGTACAACAGAAGTGGAGGGAAGCTGCCACTGACCTTTCCTGAACTCTCTCCCACCCTCTCCTACCTGATATTACATTTCTTTTATGGGATTTGTGTTATTGGAGTAAATCAATGTTTGATGTGTTTTTCCTTGTATGGAAAGATTTTTATGCTGTTATGTCTTTTATTTATGATGTCTTATTTATTCACTTATATATACACATTCACTTTATACACTTTGGTCAACTTTGGTTGTTTTAAAGTGCTTAACAAATAAAGTTGGATTGGATACAAGGGATGGCTTTAATTACGCTTTTTCATCAAAAACAGCTACCTGCTGCATCTGAAAAGAACAGTTTAGACAATTAGAATGGTGAGAGTGAACCACAAAACAGTAAAGCTAAAGGCCAGAAAACAACAAGCTGAAAGATGCTAAAAGAAGTGTAGGGAAACTGACTTGAACTTCAGAGTTGGGTGTGTCTCCAACCACACTGTGGGTTTGGCATCATGAGAGACACCTTTCACATACACACAGTCATTTGATTGATATTAAGATTAGTGCAGCTTTAAGGTCAGGGAAAGATCGCAGCCATGGTTAAGAGAAAACAACATTGACTGTTGGTAGGGAAAAGGTAACAAACAGTCACAATCCCAGACATTATTGACCACCCAGCCCCATTGAGGTCTTTGTCAGTTAAACATGAACATAGGTCATTTTAGATAATTGACATTTTTCTTGTGCCGACAGTCTCAGACAGTGTTCCAACAGCCATCAAGACAGCTCCAAAAGAAAAAAAAAGTGACTTTTTCAAATTTTAAATTGGTATGAAGCAAACCTCTGATCAAAACATCCAACATTTCCACATAAGCCAATATTGCTACAAGTGTCTTTCTGCTTACCACCCTACCTGTTATACTCATCCATTGCTAATTGGTTCTCCTATATGTCTTGTCTCAATGCCAGCTTGTGTGTTTCTGTCCCTCTGGCTGTCTACATACATATCTGTCTGTGTGTCTACCAGTGCCCTGTGTGTGTGTGTGTGTGTGTGTGTGTGTGTGTGTGTGTGTGTGTGTGTGTGTGTGTGTGTGTGTGTGTGTGTGTGTGTGTGTGTGTGTGTGTGTGTGTGTGTGTGTGTGTGTGTGTGTGTGTGTGTGTCTGTGAGAGGATGGAGTGAGGTCTGAAGCCGGAGAGGCCGCAGAGCCCCGGGCTGCTCTGAAGAGAGGATGGACACTGACTTGTAAACTTGTTTTCATCCTCAAACACCACCCACCAAAACACACACAAACCCACACACACTTGCTTTCTCCACATCGCCCTGGGGAAGAGGGGAGGCTTTCAAGGCGACTGTGAAACCTTCAGTCAACCAGAAAAAATGAATTTTTTTTTGGCATATCCCAAACTGAAGCTCTTGTGGTGTGTGTGTGTGTGTGTGTGTGTGTGTGTGTGTGTGTGTGTGTGTGTGTGTGTGTGTGGGGAGTGTTAGAAAAAGAAAGACAGAAAAAGATGGAGAAAACACAATAAAGGCTCTTATTAAACCAGAAAGGGCACATATGGACTTTCCAATTCAGTTCTAATCAACTGCTGTGTCACACTAAATCCATCATTTGTCTTTCTGCTTTTGGCTGAGTAATTACATCCGATGCATTATGATAGATAATGTGTTGTGCAGTCTATAAAGTGGCAGTAATGCTACAGAGAGACTATAGAGAGTGGTGGGTGCTGTGCAGAGTGCAAAGTGAGGTTCCCCACTAGAATAACAGACGGCTATTATAAAACAGCACAGAGCCATTTTGTCCTGATAAGAGACACACTTTGTCCAGGCTCTTAAGCCTTTGAAAAGTGGAATACACTTTGCTGTCCTTGGATGAGAGTACTCACCCTCAGTCATGTCAATTTGTCAATTCTGGCCTTTTCTCTGTCAATGTTTCTTTTTTCTGCCTTTATCGTCATTCATTTAGTGACAAATTGCTTCTTGTATCTCTCTCTCTCTCCCTCTTTCTCTTTCCCTCCGCAGGGAGATGAAGTGCTGACTGTCATTAAAACTAAGGCTCAGTGGCCGGCATGGCAGCCGCTCAACCTGTAAGTATCACTCAATGTCAGTTTCACTAAAGGGAAAAGGCACTTCTGTGAGAGATATGATTGAAATCAAAAAGAAAATCAAGAAATGGTGGAACAGCAGTGTTAACACTGAATAGTAATTAACATTAATTTTTGCTGAGAAATCGGTGTGTTTTAACTACTTATTTGGTCTTAATTGTTATTACCAAAAAGAAGAAATTTAAGTTTTATTTACCTGCATTGTTAGTGCCCCCTACATTACAGTTATCCAGGGAGCATGAATCTTTGGGTTCGACTGAAAATGTCAGCACTGTAATTTGTGTGCATGGACAGACACTAAAAACAGTTATTAAATGCTATGACAGTTCTACAAATAGGCACACAGGCAATTAAACAGCAGGCGGCTTACATTGTTAGGCTTTCCTTTGTCCAATCTGTTACTTCAGCACTTCATACAGTATTCTGTGACTCAGCAGGTGTTAGAATAATATAAATTAAACGTAACATGGATTCGCTAGTAAAGTGAGCAACTATCTTCCGATTATAATACAGTGCGCCAACCCTGGTCTGCTGGTTTGTGTTTTTGAAGTGTTTTCATTCAACCTCTGCTTACTATCCTTCCATCACATTTTAGCTTGTAACTAATCATGGATGTATGCACGCTACATGCATGAGTGATACTGAAACAAAAATATTGCAGGAAATGCAAAGCTTATTTTAAATAACATTTCAGTGATCTCATAGTTTAAGTATTTTCATTCGAAATTTTGTAGTATTTTAATAGCATTATATGTTTTTAAATAAATGTATTTCATTAGCAAAAAATATTTCAGCGATTCCTCTGCGTACAACTAGAGGCAGAGGTATCATTGTTTTAGAACCAGCAAAAGGCTCAGACATCGGGAATCCCTAATTAAAACCTAACTAACACTATCTCTGCTTGTTTAAAAGTTGAAAAATAATACTTTTTATTGAGATTTGTAGGCCAGCCCGGTTCCACTCCCAACGTTCAAATACAGCAGCTTGGTCAGTGGCCCTACACTGCTTACTATGACGCTGTAGATACTTCTCTAGCGTAATGTGACACCGAAGTTAGGCCGGGGTGGTTGGATGTGTCAAACACAGAACTTTCATCAAGGAGACCAATGTCAACACTGACTTCTTTTTCACACATTTATGATATTAATTTAATAATTTAAATATGTATTTATTTAAAAGCTGCCTTTTAAATGCTAATGGAAAAGCGGTAATGATTCTGAATCTGTTGGAACAACCAGCAAGGAGAATGAACATTTAGTTAATTTATTTCAACACAGTATAACGTCGCACAAGTCCTGTTGTTCAAAGCACGGAATAAAAAACTTCCAACTTTGCAAAAAAAACAAATACTGACGGACCCGGACAGGTGATGGCTAAAGTTAACACTTACAAATAACTCCCTACAAACTCGCTCCTCTTTCTTCTTTTAATTCCTGTCCTGTTCCTGCCTGAGCTCGCTGTGTCTTCATCCGTAGAGGCATAGTCCTGGTCAGAGCCGTTGTAGATTCAATGGCCTCCGTTGGTTGGCCATAATCCATGGCATATTCCCTTCTCAGTCCCCTGCTCCTGGGCTTGTAGTGTAAACACTCCCCCTGTTGTTCAAGCTCCCAGTCTGGGTACAGATAGCTAATAGGACTGCTAACTAGCCAGTGGCAGCAGCTAGTTCAGTTATGCAACAGTGCACCGGTAAGCAGCTCCCTGTGTTACAAGACAAAAGGTCTGCGTTGCAACAATCCCCTGATAACTTTTCCCGGTGACAAGGTGCAGTTCCCGAACGGCGTTTGATGTTTTTGTTTTTCTTGTGACTATCCGACTAATGAAAAGTGTGTCGAACAAGGCACTTCTCTGCGTCTAACGGTTAAGTCGACTGTGTACACTACAGTGTTCCTTCAAGCCAAGATGATTCTGTGTTTTATTTCTAAAGGGTATAACAATCTCTTTGGCTTTAAGTAAGCAAAGATATACAGACTTCTTATTTAGTGATCTGTATGTAGTAGTAAGTTCGGACATACTGGATGATCAACAGAAAAGGTCAGTTATATATATATATATATATATATATATATATATATATGTATATGTATATTTTTTTATTACATTTTTTGTTACATGATTCTTTGATAATATTTCCATGAATCATAAAGACCTGAATTCTTAATTAGCAGGATAAGAGCAGTACTTGAAAGTTGGAAAAATGTCCATTTCTGACACGCTCAAGCAGCCATAAATTATAATTGAAATTCAGATACTATTGTATTGTAATGTGTGAATTTTAGAAAAACTGACTCTTAATTGTTTTATGATTCCTTCCTTTATGCAAAAGCGAGGATGGCTTGTCTGAATAGTCTCACACTCTGGCATCCTGTGCACTCTTTGGAATTAGTTCAAGAGCAATTAGAAACTTATCACAATTCTAGCCCTCAGCACCGAATGAGCATGAGCACGCCACACACACACACACACACACACACACACACACACACACACACACACACACACACACACACAGACTCTAATGTACTGTATCTTCCACCAAACATCTGTTTAATTACCCCTCCTAGCGTTGTCTGTCATTTGCGATATATTGTGCCACTATTATTTTTACTAATGAGAACATTTACACACATGCATGTGCACCCACGCAGTCACACACTCGCTGTGAGTATGAAATATTAGCTTATTTAGTTCAATTTTGCATGCAAAGTTGTCAAGTTAAAATAGTTGTGTTTGCGCTTATGTCTTGCTTAAGACATGATAATTAAGATACCATGGACAATTTTTTTGTAAAGAAACTAAATTACTCTATTATTATCTTTTTTATTTTCAATAGGCTTTGGACATTCAGAGAGAATATGCCATTATGAGCTATTTTCTGCTTCTAAGTGGATGTTTTGGAGCTTCAATTATCCAGCAATTAGCAGAGTGTGACTCGGGTCAGAGGTCATGACATCAGAACTGACTTGCAAGTAATTAACTAAAAATTGTAACAGCAGAGCGTGGAGATGTTGGAAAATGTTTCTGAGATAATTATGTTTACAACATACTTAGGCTTGTCTCTTTATATAAATATTCAAAATGTAATTTATTTCTTTTTTGTCTTGACATTGCTCGCACCCATCACCAGGCGAGCAGCTCCATCAGCAGAATTTTCTGTGGACCGGACCCGTCACCTGATGTCCTTCCTCACCATGCTCGGGCCCAGCCCGGACTGGAATGTCGGACTTTCAGGAGAGGACCTCTGTACCAAGGAGTGTGGCTGGGTCCAGAGGCTGGTGACAGAGCTCATTCCCTGGGATGCAGGCACTGACAGTGGTGTCACATATGAGGTAATGTATCCAAATGTTGCTGGGAAGTTCAAATGTTGGTAGTGGTAGAAACATCCAGTACAGGGTTGCAGTTGTGTCAGTCTATTGGCTGTAATGAAATGATGACAAAATGGGGGTGTCCTGGTGGCCCACAAAATACTTAAAAAAGAAGACATGATATGAAATAAGCTGGGAAGTAATAACATTAGCCAAAAAGAGTTAATGTAATATTACTGCCAATAGGTCAGTAATGTTATAGTATGCTACATTTTTACTCTGGTCTGCTCTAACCCTCTAAACTGTAATCTTAGCTTGCGAAATGCCATTCCCTCAAAAAATAGATCAAAATAAATCATCTTTGTTAGCTAGTAAAGTTAAGTTAGCTACTAGCTAGCTACTTGGGCTTTGCATCTCAGTCACTGACTCCGATGCGATACACACCTTGATGCATTACCAAAAATCAAATGGGATATGACAGGCCTGTTGCGATGAATGATTTAATTCAAACCAGTGCCATTCAACGGTGCACATAATGCCTGACGAGGTGTCGGACAGTTTGTGCTCCACGTTCTATTAAAGGGGAACTTGGCAACTCTAGCTATTTCTTCGCTTCGCATGTTTTCTCAACGAGCGCCCCCTACAGCTCTGGGACGTATATTTCACAAAACTGTCGTAAAAAAACTCACTTGCAGCACCCTCCTCCCCCTTTCTACCGCTGCTGATGTGCATTTGTTGCCGGGCAACTTTTTCGTTTGGAGCAATGTCTACCGAGGTGGGTAATACATACACAGTATCATACAACATTGCGTTTATGTGGAATTGCCGTAAAGCAGTTTGTGTTTCTCGCTCGTTCTCGCTTCTCACGATACTTCCTATTTCCAACTTAACGGGACGGTAGTCCCAAAGTTGCAAGGTTGGTTTTCCGCCTGGGGACGCTAGGGGGAGCGGGGAAAGTCACCATTAACACCGGAACAGGCCATTTAACCTTCCAAATGATTTCTAAACGGGTTTATTAAGTTGAAATAGTTGCCAAATTCCCCTTTAATTCCTGACTATGGACACCAAAGGGCATTATCCATGGTAACGTCCCAAAGAAAAGATCATTATTTTACATTTACATGCATTTTGCGATCAAAATATAAAGTTAATAAAGCCGGTAACACCTGAAGCATCATTATCATCCCATAAAGTTCTAATGCAATTTAACTGTTGTTCCATACTCCAGTAAATAGAACGCACCATAGATACGGCTTAGCAACGGGAGATATGGCTCTTTGGCTCAGCTACGTGACAGAGAGCTAACGTTAAGCTAGCAAGACTCAATGTCAATAACACTGCGTACTGTCGACAAACCGTAAATATAATTAGACAGTATGTTTAACAACAAGACTAACTAGCTATCAGCCATGTCATTGTCCCCAAAAACAATATCAAGATTTTCACAAACGATAGGGAATGTGTACTGACGGCCGCAGACGGAAGTAGCGAGCTGAATAGCGCATTCATTTAGAGCGGTAAACAGACTTTCACTGGAACTACTTAGTAGGTGTTCTACATCAGGAATTAATGGACACTCATCAGCCAATCAGAATCGAGTATTCACCCAGACCATGGTATAAATGAATGTATCTAATCTAGCTCACTAATGTTAGCAAGAGTCTTTGCGACAAACGTTCAACCACATCTAAAATGGCCATTGAGGATGTGTTACATCAGTCAACACAGGGCCATACTGTGTATTAGACACATATGTTAAGGAGTACTGATGCACTCTAATTGTTAGACATAAAGTTGTTGCTCTAGCTGACAGATAAAGTATATAGCATATTATTATAAGGTTTATTGCTCACTAGCTGTTGGCAGCAGGCAGCATTTATTTCAAAACTTCACATCAGAGCACACTTGACTTCCACCTGTCTGTTCCTTAGACAGACTTTTCTACATCCTCAAAATGAAAGGTGCTCATCCATATTCACCCACTGTTCTGAGACTACAGCAATTTATTTATAGTTTACAACCTCATGAATAAGCAAGGAGCTTATCCTGCTGAGGGTAGGTGGTAAATACCTTTCAAAACTTCACTAACACAAAACCAGACCTCTTTCCATTCTACTTCTGGTACTTTTTAAATGCATTTTTTAAAGCATTCTTGTCTGTTCTGGGCCTGTTTGTATTCTCTTTGTTTGTTCACTTCAGCCCTCTTACCCACACTGGCACTTGCTTATTTGTATTTGGTTCAATATTTTAAGTTATAAAACATTGTGAGCATATAGGTGCAATAATTAAGGCAGTCAGCGCTGTACTGAACTTATTCAAAAGTAAACATTAAACAGCAGTGTTTCCATTCCCTCTAGAGTGAGGCAAATTGATGATTTGAGAGCTGTGTGTTCTGATATATGTATGTGAAACATCTTTGGTTAAATTATATAATGCAGCTCTGCTTAGACATTGTTGTTTCCCTGGTTCAAAGGTCTTTTAAGTTAAAGTTTCTAAGCTGATCGTGTACGCTTCCATGACTCTTTAACCTGAAAGTCAAAACAAAATGTATATTTTTTTAGGTTTACCCTCAGATAAGCATACAGCAGACATTAAATCACTGCCACCTACAGACAGAGACATTGAAGTACACGTCTTCCAGACCCTCTGCGTGTGCATCTTTGCACTGTATGAAAAGCAAAGACTTGTAATTGTCTCCAACAGTGATGGATGTCTTCTGTTTGGTCTTATTCTCCACAAGCTTTTTAAACCAAAAGGCCAGAGAAGAAACTTTTAGCAAACCTGTAAAGAGAATCATCAGCATTGTTGTTACAGCACTGTAGATGAGGATATAACTTCATATCTCCTCTAATACTTCCTTTGTAGATGTCTTCCCTTTGTCTTATTCAGTACTCCTGCATATATTAAACAGAAAGTTGGTTTGAAACGACAACGTTGAGTTAATCTGTCAGAACAAAGAGAATGATTCATGTTTGTCATGTGTTTTCATCTTTTCTCTCTGTTGGGTTTTTTTTTTTAAAGCTCTAACAATACATGGACACACACGCCACCGCACACACCTGGAAACAATGCCATGAATCTCTTATAAAAGAGCTGTTAAAACGCATTTAAATGATTCATGGTGAGATCAAACAGAAAAGATACCCTGGACCAGATGGCTCATGGGAGAAACAGTGACTGTAGGTGATGATTTCGGGCCCTACCTCATCATTTTTGGTCAGAATGGAGTCTGAAATCAATGCAGCTATTGTAATGTTATTACTTTTTATTAATTCTAGTTTGCATGCGTAAATTGCTGCCGCTCTACTGTTTTTTCCCTCCAGAGAAATCATGTTGTTCTCTTTTTAAAAGCTTGTTTCACAGACATGCAGATGCTATGTGCTTCTATTGGATTAGTATTCTTGTCCCACAAATAATTCCCATGCCCTAAATTTTCTCTGTTTAACTTTGATTACTCTAACCATTCCTCAGTGGCGGACTCAGACTCTCTTCCCTCAGGCGTATTTGATACTCAATATACAAGAGCAGATGTTTTCCTCCAGGACACTAACCATTCCAACACCAAGTGCATAATGTGTACAATGCTAATGTGGGAGTGTGGGAATAGTTCCCCTTCAAATCATGACCTGATCTTCACCTGTTGCATCTTATTTGCGCACGTCCATTTTCCCCTGATCGTTAAAGAGCCGCCAGAGCTAATTCACCTTTATATTCACATTGCAAACTCTAACACATCTACCCAGAGAGGTGACAGTGAAAACTGAAAGGCCCTTGTTGCGCTAAAAACGTCCTGTTATGATCTCTCATATTTTTTTTTTTCCAGCGAGGTTACTGGGGGCTTAAAGTGTTCCAGAAACATCACCTGGGGTTGCGCAACCAGCTGTAAACACAGCATTGATATTTTGACGCCAACAACTCTACTGAGAAATATCTCTTTCTCTTTTTGGCTAAATACTGCGCTATGTTCATCAGTTAGATACTGCAGTTTGGTGCTGGGCATGTGGGCTGCCTACGGTGCCTTGTAAACAGCACTGATTACAGCGGCAAGATTGAACAACAACTGGAAAGTTGGGGGCGTAAAACCAAAACAATGAGCTGAAAGACGCTAAAACGCTCTGTATAGAGATGAGGGGAACTGCAGAGTTGGATGATAATTATTTGTGGGTTCATCACCACAGGCAACACCTTTCACATGACACATAGTCATTTGATCCATTGTTAATATAAAACTATAGATTATAGCAGCTTTAACCTTTGTATAATATATATTTCTATCTAATTTGCTCACTTGTTTTATTGACCTGTTCCAGTCACCAAACAAGCCCACCATTCCTCAGGAGAAGATCCGACCCTTGACCAGTTTGGACCACCCCCAGAGCCCGTTCTACGACCCCGAGGGAGGGGCAATTAACCCTGTAGCCAAGGTGGTGGTGGAACGTATCGCTAGAAAGGTACAGTGTAAATGTGTGTGCGTGAATGAACTTGTGCAAAACAAAATGTTTCAGAAACGATCTGATGTTGAGTTGAGCTGTGGTCAGTTGCACAACAAAACAACCCTGTCCCCTTTTTACAAAAACAATCAAACATGTTACCACAGTGGAAACAACTCCGACCAGCAAGACAATGGTCTTGTGACAGACGGAGACAGCCAAAGCATTCTTGCTAGCTGGACTACACATACTTTAAACCACAGTTTAAAGGCATCACTTCAATAACCTACATAAGTATAATTTCTTTATTACTCTTCCACTGTCATAAAGTTTCACTCAAATTCTTTAATATGTGTAAGAAATATCTGATTATATGATTATATTTCAATTATAACTTGACAATTGTTGCCAGCAAATTCACTAAATTTAGCTATTTATTGTTGATTTTGTGAGTTGGCCAAACTACATGAAACTCATGTAGTCATGTCATTATTGTATTTAAGTATTATTGAGTGATTTCAAGTATAGTACTAATATAATATCTTACTAAGTGTAAGCTGAATTTATTGTATTTTTGTATCTGATAGTTTTCATGTTGAAACAAGATTACCTTAAACTTGTTAAACTATGTGGACCACAAATACAAACCTTTAGGTTAACTTCTAGAAATGTATTATAAATTTATATTTATTAAATTGTAATGGTAATATTTTGCTCTAATTGTTCAGCCCTACTGTAACCAATGCAACTTGTTCAATACCATTGTCACACACACAGCCAACGGTGATCTATATAAGATAACTAACAGCCAGTGGTCAAACTACTACATTTAAGGTAAAAAACGAAGTTTGGTGCTCAAAGATTGTTTTGTCTTCGGATACATTTTCGTGTGTGACCCTATTTTCCCTTGTGTGTGCAGGGAGAGCAGTGCAATGTGGTCCCAGACACCATAGATGACATTGTAGCTGATATTGGACAGGAGGAGAAGGAGGAAGGTACAGTAACACACACACAAACACACCTACACTGAACACGCAAACACTCTCTCTTTCTTGATTACAGTTCTTCAGGGTCAAGATCCTGAACAAGATACGATGGATTACAAGGGATTGGTTGTCCGTTTAAGTAATTATTCAAACCCTGTCATTACATGATATTGCATTCCTTTAAGTTCTTTGAACCTGACTGTTTCCTCAATTCAATCTGTGTTTGCAAAATATTCACTTTAACTACCAACTTACAGACTGAGCAGATACTGTGGGGATTTGGTGTCTTATGATGCTCAAGGACACACACATAGCTCATTACAGACACAACTGGTCTAAGCAGTCTCAGATGGGCTCAGGTCGGATAGTCAGAATACACATCTGGCAGGGCTTTGTCTCCTCCCTGCTGTGAAGAGGTGAGCGCCCCACTGCTGCAGAGCAACACAACTGCGTCTGGAGCAAGTCCTGTCTTTATCAAACACACTTTGTATTCTGTTATGCCTCACAGACCCTGTCACTCTGGACAAGGATGTTTCAGCAACACTGCACATTAAATCAAATAAAGTTTATTTTCCTGTCTCAACTTCTTGCTCACATTTTTGCTATTTGATATTTGGACACAGGACAAAAACATTTAGGAATTTTACAAACCCTGTCTACTTTAAATTGCATTCATATACAACTAATTTGTATTGGCAAAATAATTTTGTAAGAATAGTAATTAATGCCCAGTTCATGTTTTTGAGGAATATAACAAGACGTTTTGACAAGATGTTGAGCTGCGGCGGGCTGAATGGAGCCTGGTTGCTGAAACCAGCCACCTGTGACGCAACACAACAAAGCTGTCACACCTTTATTTATGCATAAGTTGACTCCTTAATGTAGTACAGGTAGTTGTATAAAAATTCGACCCCTTTATTGTTGTCATAAAGTTGGGCATTTTAATATAGGGGCTTATTGGAGCCAGTCTCAAGTGGGCATTTGAGGGACTGCAGCTTTTGGCACTTCTGTGTTGACTTCATTTTTTAGCCACAGAGGTTGCCACTTGGTATTTACTTTCTTGCAGTAAAATGAGAAGATTAATTTCTGTTTAGTAGAGCGAGGAGGCAATAAGCTTACCTTAGCATACAGACAGGAAGCAGGAGAAAGAACTAACCTGGGTATCTCCAAAGTTTAAAAATATGCCAACACCTCTAACAATCATCAATTACAATGTTGTATCTTGTTTGTTATGTGCTGCAGCTGTTTCTCAGCTGACGGCAGTGACTTACTGGAGTCATGTCATCACAGTAATTTACTACGCCCAGTTGCTGTTTGCCAACAAATAGGTCCAGCATATAACTCCTAAAATCACAACTTGTCCTGTTGAAATTTCTGACGAGGCACACATTAATTAGTGAATTTTAGAGGAGATGTTAGAGTGTTTTTTACCTTTGGACAGGCAAGCGGTTACTTCCAGTCTTTATGCTAAGCTAGCTTCATACTTTACTATACCTTTAAGATTAGGAAAAAACTGTAGTCTTTTTGACTTTAAGCACAACGCAGAACATGTTGACTGAATCAATATATATCCTAAACCATTATATTTCCCTTAACTTAAACAAGTGTTTTAAGATAAGATGAGATATGATAGTAGCCTTAACCAAACTGGATCATCCAACCTGACCTCCTCCTTAGGACCTCTATGCAGATAATGTCTGTACTCCCTGGTTTGAAAAAAACACTGCCAGTGAACAGCAATGGCAGCAACGATGATCCCCCCCAAAATATTCTGCCGTTTGAAACGTGTATAAACACCTCTGATTTCTGGCGTTTTTTCCTTTTTTAATCCAGCCCTTACAGGGATCAGTGCAGTGACCTTATAGTTACAAGATTAGTTGTTCTTTACGTCCTTTGCTAACCCGCAGACGGACAGGACAGCCCGGTCTATGATGCTGTTTGTGTTGTACATGCTTTGTGCTTATTTTCACAGTAAGTGGCCTTGGGTAGGGAGCAGGATCTTGCCCATACAGCAGAATTCTTAACAAGGATCTCCTGTCGCCTAATAAATGTCCTCCTCAGTCAGTCATAGACCATTTGCTTCTTTCCCTCCTCCTTTTTCCTCCTCTCTTACTCTACCTGTCCTCTCCTTCTCCCTTGTTTCCACTCTTCTCTGTGTGAGATGACACTACGGAGGGGAGTATCCATTCAGGCTGGTCCCCTTGGTCCGCCCAGAGCTTCACTGCTTTCACTTACACATCAACCCAACTGTCCTCTTACCTTCCTCTCTGCGTCTCCAGCTCCTTTCTTCCCTCATTCTCCTCTGTCATTACACCTTATCCCAGAGAATTGGACCCACTCAGGTTTGTCCCTAAGGCCTGACGGTATATTCTCTTGCCTCTCCTCTCATTTTCTCTGCCTCTCTGAACCCCCAAGAGAGCATTATTAATTGAAGCCAGTACCCCTGCTACTTCTTGTAGCTCTGCTACCACTGATAATTGGACAAGACATTCACAAATCACCGTCTTCTCTTTCTCTCCAACTCCATTCCTCCACTCCTTCCTCTCCCCCCTCAGATGTCACTCTGTGGCCTCTTGTGGTCCAGTACCATCGGTAATCACCTTTGGATACGGTGTTAAATAATCAATGTCAGCCCATTCCTCCATCCCCCGCCCCTCCTCTTTACTGTGACAAATCAGCTGTAATGGAATGAAATGGAAATGGAAGGGTTTTTTAAAGCACATTTTACTGGTAACAATGACCATGTGATCTCAGTCAATCACTGAATGAGCAGCAAATTTTAACGAAAAATATTAAAATGCCTCTTTTTCCTCTGTATCTCTTCCATTCACTAAACATCCCTGTGTGTTTCTCTCTTAGATGACACACCAGAGACGTGTATCTACTCAGGCTGGTCTCCCTGGTCGGCGTGTAGCAGTGCTACATGTGACAAAGGCCGCAGGATGAGGCAGAGGATGCTGAAGGCCCAGCTGGACCTCAGCATGCCTTGTCCACATACTCAAGATTTCCAGCCCTGCATGGGACCGGGATGCAGTATGGAGGGTAATAACACACACAAACACACAAATACACACACTCTCTCACACACACACACACACACACACACACACACACACACACACACACACACACACACACACACACACACACACATACACACACAGTTCAGTGGCTGCCTAGAAGTATGAGAAACGAGCAGCTCCTACTGGGAAAATGTAGGTAGGGAGGTCCTTAAGGCACTAAACTGTAGTTGCTATGAAAGTGGTCAGCTGCGCTTGTTATAGCAGGGATGCCCAAACCCAAAGGGGAAACTTAATGGTGGTCCACAGGCTGAAAGCAAATACCTGTTGTATTGTTAAAATGTAGAAATAGTACTAGGATGCCAAGTTCCCTTAATTGACTGGCTGTGTTCACATGAACCATGAAAAGCAATTAATAATTAGGGATTATACATATTTGAAGTGCACAAAAACAAATATATATATATTTTGGGTTTTTTTTGTACATCTAGCTGGCCAAATTGAACCATATGGTGTGCGAACTTTAGACCGTGGGCCCAACTTTGGGCAGCCCTGATTTATAGAATCATATATAATTAATGTAGGATTTGGAAGAGAACAAGCATTCTCAGCCAATTTTCCTTCAATAAATAACATTTATTTGGTCGTGTAGAAGCACTTTGAGTAACACAGCCAAAGTGGGAGAGCAGATCATTCTTTATTTCCCTCATTACACTCAATGTAACTGCTCTTTAATTCCCTCTGAACAGGGCCAAAAAGGGAGGCCTTATCTCAATAAAGAACATTAACACTCATGAAAACCTGGAGCAGCCATTTGTTAGTAGATTGTATGTATTAGTCCAGCAGCTACCAAATCGACAGCTATCAACATAAGCAGAGATACTGCAAAACATTAATATATGGTTTATGAGAAGCACTTATGGTACTTCTTAGCCCTATTGGTCCAGATTTTAGTTGAGAAATAGTCAACACAGTAACAGAATCTTGATTCATATTTATCAGCACTGCCTAGTTTGACAGTTTGATCTGAGTTTGATGCGTTAAGCTGGACAGACAAACTGAGAATGACCTGTCAATCACAAGGTAGCCACACCCTAAAGCAATGGAACCATAATTTAATAAATGATCATCATGCTGTATGGAAGAAGACCTGAAACTATTGATTGAGACCATAAACTCATTAGAAAACTGTTTAATAAGCTAACAATTCAAGTGAGAAGTCGATTCATTTCTCTACAAGACTGCAGGGTATCTGTTTTTATTGCAGCCAATGCAGCTGCCCCCTGCTGGTTATTACATAGAATGCAGTTTTAAGACACTTCCATGTTGGCTTCACTTCACAGACCAGGAAGCACTGTAAATTATATATACTGTCAGTGTTTCCACAGGATAAATTGTAATAATGTTGGTGTTTCAGTTGGTTTAATACAAACTTTTGTTTGTTAATTGCCGCCACTTTTAGCTGCTGAACAGTCAAATTGCCCTGTAAATTTATTATTTTGGCTCATGCAATATGTATTTTAGAGTTTCTCTGTTTTGGAGGTGCAAAATATGGGAGGAGAGAATAGAAACTCTTCCAAATATCTGCTGCAGTTGATTTATCACTGCTGACTGACCACTGCAGCGAAGTAAACTATGTTTGAAATGTAACATCTTTGGAAAGTAAGTGTTAAATTGGTGGTAATGTTTTATCCGACAGACAGAGGATGAGAAACTAAAGCAAGGTCGAAACAGTGATCGAGAGAGACTGAAGCACAGAGAGGGAGAAAGAAAAACAGTGAGACATAACTCAGACAATGAAAAGACATCAGATACACACATAAAGAATGTTGCAATGAATTAACTTAATGAAGTTACCTTACAGTAGCTCTCCATCCAAGTTTAGCACGGGGAGCAGCCATTTGTCTTCAAGCCATTATACCTTTCTGTTTCTCTCAGTGGCATCCAGCATGAATATGTATTTTTCCTGACTTTTAATAGCTCACAGCCGCTCCAGCTCAGTGCAATATGATTAAAGCAGCCAGTATTTTATTAAGCCTGTTGTCACATTGATTTTTCATGACTCATTCAATCACTGATTTTTTTTGTTGAACTGACAACATAAGGTGATTTAACTTGAACTGACAACAAAAGGTGGTTTAACTTCCTCTTGTGGTATGAATATGCCTGCAGGTCCAAAAGTGTCTTCTCTTCAGCCAATATTCAAAGTTCAGCAGCAGAAAGTTTTCATGCAAATCAGATCAATATATGCCCCATTGTCTTGTTCTTAATAGCATACAAGATACAGACACCCAACTTTCTATGAGGACCTACTAAATGTTGATACACACAAACACTAAAACGCCCATTTTAAGGCCCTAACACACTGGGCTGATGGTCAGCCGTCGGCCAATGTCGGGCCATCGGTGAGCATCTATAGCCCTAGTTTTCCAGTTTTCTGGCTTTATTGACTGACTGAGCATATCGGTGGCGGAAGACATAAGAAATCACATTGATTGGCTGTTCAGCTTAATCGAATCAGTGCACAAGAAGAGAAACTGAAGTTAGTAAAGCAGCAAATGACTTCGTCAAGAGGGGATGCATGAAATGTTTGTCTCATTTTACAACTTCATCTCATCTGATCGTTCAAATACACAGATATTTTAAAAATGACATGGCAAACCTACATCCATAAGGCTGCTTTTGTTTATACCCTCAGTCTTAGGTCTTCCTATGTCCGTTTGAATGACAAATGCAGACTACCGCCACCTATTGGTATGGAGAGTTATGACCTCTTGTACAGGTGCAGAACATACGTCCTAGTTGGCTGTTCGCTGTAGCCTTTTGACACTGTTAGTTCTTTGACATCGTTTTGGGTGAGGTAAGGGCCTTTAGGGTAGAACGTTGGTTGGGACTGTTCCCTTTCCCGGTGGATTTCTGACCATTACCGCCCACTTCAGCTGTGTGTGTGTTCCACTCTTTCGAGCATTCTGACCATTCACCCCCACCCAATAAACATTTAGTGTCTTCTGAGACTGAGAAATGTCTCCAAATGTGAGACTTGCCTGGCTTTGCTTTTGTTTTGTAAAAACCAGCTCTAATCTCTCAACTTCATTCGTTGACTCCATCCTTCTGATGGGCACAGGATAAATCCTGGGAACAGAATGTTTCCCAATGCAGCCCTCTACTTTAGGGTACATTTCTGAACTTGTTGAACTGTTTAACATACTGTGTATCTTAAATAAAGTAAATTAAGTTTTACCCTTCAAAAAGTGCATAAATATAAACAATAATACCCTCGTCTTCTGCAGTACTTGATCACACAAATAAGCATCACAAAACAAAGACGGCATTTCTTCTGCTTTAATCCTTTCAGAGTTGAGGGCGTTCATTTTCTGTGAACAAGAGGGGTGATCAGTGAACCCTCAAAATAATAAGCAGATTAAAGTTTAGGTGTTTATCTCATCCTGTCTGAAAGGGACTCAATGACTGTGGATGGTTCGTTTTGGCTTAAACTCATGGAATCTGTAGTGAGAACACAAAGTTGCTGTCTTGTTTATATTTCACGGCCTAGTGGAATTATTTTATCCAGGAATTTAATTGTGGAGCCATTACTTGACAATTTTTGTTATTGTTGTGAGGGATTATACAGTGTGTGTGAAGGAACAGGTAAAAGAGAAGGAAACGTGTGGCCCCTCTGTGATTAGACAGATAATCTGGAGACAGAAAGCAGATGCTGGCTGTAAAACAGTGAAACCCACACATATTTGAAGTTGTTTTGGTTACATCAAGAGGATATGTGACAAAATAAAGTAAATCCCTAATCACACAGAGTAAACATTGGTGATTGGATACCCTAATTACTTCACTGATACATAACAGATTATGTGGATTAGCTGCTAATGCCAAGCGTCCTCTTGCATCCAGGACGCTTAAACCAGGATTTGATAGTGTTTATCTCTGACTAAAAGAAATCAACGCACCATGCTTTCACTGTTATGTTAAAGATCATAGGAACAACAGGAGGATTGTGGAGATACAGGATTTTGTGTGTTCAGGAACCTCATTAGGATGTGGAAACAAAGTGAAGATGCAACGACACAAACATAATTAACAAAGCGGAGATTTGCGGTTCACAGTAATCCAAGTATCAAAGCCGATGACAGATGTGTTTTAAACAAATTAGCACCAGCTTTTCCTCCTTTTCTCAATTTCTCTCTGTTGTTGTCAAAGGAGGAACTTTTCTTTTTCCCGGTTCTCGTCAGAGTTGACAGCTTGATGCTCTTTTACTGCGAGCAACAACCCCCCCAATCCCGCAACAAACACAAGCACAAAACCCCAGGAGTTTGCTTTTGTCCAATTTTCAGTGAAGTTGTCAGTTTTGAACAAATGCTGAGAGGCAGCACAGTCAGCGTCTGTCTTCTCCCTCCTCACTCTTCTTCCCCTCTTTCCCAGGATGCCTACCAGTCATCAGAGGAGTGAAGCTCAGGCTGTTCAAGGCTGAAGGAGCTTCTCACACACACACACACACACACACACACACACACACACACACACACACACACAAACACAAACACACACACCCTTCACTGCTCCTCTTATCGATTATCAGACAGCAACATGGATAGCTTTTTGTTCCTGAGCACCTCTCCTTTGTTTTCATTTAGCGCTCCGTTAGCGTGCAGTGGGAGATTGATAATTGCAGGGTTCATGGTGGGGCAGAACCGGGGCCGACGCCCGGGATGATTAATATTCCTGGGAAGCACTTTGGCTCTCTGGAGGCCTCATCCTGGAGCTGGAGATACCTGTATCTTTTATTAATGATTCACTTAGTTCTGCTTTATTAGGCCACAGCCGGTAAGCAATGCTGTTCTTAGTTTGTTGGAAGGCAGAGAGTGTAAAAGAGTCAAAGTGTGAGTCAAAGAAAAATCCATGCCAAGTTGCTCAAAGTTCATCTATCATTTCAAAATAAAATCCTATTTACGAGGGCTGTTTGCGTGCAATCGCTTCTTCTTGACAGACTCGCCTTTTCTTGCTTTTAATATACTCTCTCCACTAGGACTACACTCTCAGGAGAGGTGTTTGAAGGAGACGGCAGTGAAGGGCTGTTAGACTCGTACAGTGACTCTCTGTAAGTGAAGAATAGGGAGATGCTGAAGCGCAATGCTGGCTAATAGTGATAAAATAGACCAGAGTGGAGCCTCGTTAGGGCTGAGAAGCTGCAGTTCACTCTTCAGCTGATACAAGCCGGGGTCATACATATTGACTTTCCCTCCCTCAGGCCCATGCTGTGAATAGGACTGTCCCTCAGGCAACTTGCCTTATTAAAAGAGAGTTGAAGCTGTTTTTGAGGAAAAGCTTTTTCAAAATGGCACCTTCAACTTAGAGACGAAACAGACTGAAATCCAAGCAGCTGTTAGACAGAGTTTTAGTGCGGTGTGTGTAAGGAGAGGGTCATATAACTGGAGAGCCTGGGTGCAAGTATTCCTCTCAGACATTCTGCTTTCTGAAATAGGAAAGTGTTTGATTGAAGATCTAAAGGCCCCTGCTGTAGTCCTGGATTTTGGCAAAGTGGAAACATTGCTATTGCTGTTAAATCTCAGTAGTGCCTTTTTTTGTAGGTCCCATTTCATCCCACACATTTCACGAGAGCCCCCCCCACTCACATCACCTTCATGTTGGGAACATGTTCCTCCCAATATATGGAGGACAAAAAATTGGTTATTCAATGATACATAAAGACAAAAATGAATTAAAGCTGCGAGCAGCAATGTTTGCAGCCTCGCAGTCCTCGCGTGTCGGGGTGTGCTGCAGTCACTTCATGTGTAATTTTTGTACAATATTATGATTGTAGTTGGCCCTCTGATCAAACCAACCCCAATCAGAGCGTTGAAACACCAGCAACTGCTTAAATAATCCAAACTTCTCTCTAGAGTATTTCTCCTTTGGAAATGTCATTAAAACACTGCAGCAGCCTGCAGGTGTTTCATAAAATCATGATAAAACCCAGCTTTAACCATTCAGAATGATTAAACAAAATCTACATGACAACTAATAAAAGCAAGCAGCTGCTAAACAAATTAAAATGTGTCTCAACGTTTGTCTTGATGGTTCAGGAACAGAGGACAAAAAGCCCTCCAAAGCTTCATCAGTGTTAAATCACAAGAACCAAAATCTCCAAAACCTCATAAAATTCTGAGAAAACTTGATTTTTAAATCCTCGCCAGCTGGCTGAGAGATAGGCATAAGTGTTCAAACTTTTCCTAAATTATTTTATGATAGAATAACTCACTAACTGTGAGTGCGGGCGTCAGGGGCAGTAGGATTATTTAAAGGCCTAAGAGACAGAGGGAATCAAGGAAATGCGTTCATCATTATACAACACAATCAGCAAACAAACAATATATTTCCTTTCATTGCCTCTTAAAATAAATTCAGTGTCATAATGTGTGCCCTGAGTTATTTGTATTATTTTGTATTGTTATAAGGGGATTGAGGGGGTGTACAGTACTTTCAGCCCAGCTTATGGCCAAGAAATGGCGTGACGGAGAAATAATGAGAATCCAACCTACAGGTGCTACATAACGATTGCAGTGTGTGTGTGTGTGTGTGTGTGTGTGTGTGTGTGTGTGTGTGTGTGTGTGTGTGTGTGTGTGTGTGTGTGTGTGTGTGTGAAAACTGACTTCAGCGATGATGAAAGTAGTTTTCCAGTCACAGGAGGTAGAGCCTTAACACTGGCACTGTCACAGTCAACCCACTTTAAAATGTTATTTGTGTGAATTAAAATGCAATACTACATAATATATACATAATACATTATTTTTCGTGTTCCAGCAGTTTGTCAGTTTGTATGGAAAATGAACTGGAGATGTATAAATAATACATTTCTGGAGCAAAGAACTCTGGGATACCAGTATCTTTTTTAATGTAATATCCTTGGGCGAAGGAACCACTGAGGCACCCTTCCTTATCATATAGAGAATCCTTCCAGCTGTTATCATGGCTGCCACTGGGTGCTAGCAAGTCAACAGATTTAGTTGGGAACCCTCTTCATGAAAAATAATAACTTTTCAGGCAAATCCTGAATCTCTCCAGCTCCAAGGTGCTTTTCTGTCACTGAATCTGACCTTTGACCTCTCCATTTTGTTTTGTTTGTTTCTCTGCTCTTTGGATATTGCCCATTTGAAACAAGGCAAGTTGACTAAGAAGATAGTGTTATGGGGGCAACACCTCTTTAATTATATCTATTGGGAACACTGGAATAGGTGGAGCCCTGTAGCGTGTGTTATTTTATTTCACTGTGCGTCTAACAGAACTTTTTGCAGTGGCAGCCAAAATTATTTGGCCAAAACTAGTTTGTTTATATTCCTCATTTAAATGAATGGTCAACTCAAGCAGTGGACCTACTTATGTAGTGGTTGCAATGAGGAATAGCAACAAGGCAACTGCACCTGCAAGTTATGACAGTGCAAACAAGCCATTTTTAAAACAGCAGAACTTTTCCCAATAATAGCCTAACAAGGAGAAATGCAAAACTAAAATGTGAAGATGTTCTTCCAATAGTACCTGCTGCCTAATAGACCTTGTTCTTGTACTTTCTTCTCCTGGTGGACAGAGCCATCAACGTGCATGATGTCGGAGTGGATCAGCTGGTCGGCCTGTAGTGTGTCCTGTGGGATGGGGATGAGGTCTAGAGAGCGATATGTCAAACAGTATCCTGAGGACGGCTCGCTCTGCCAGCTTAACACAGAGGAGACGGAGAAGTGTGTCGTCAACGATGAATGCTGTGAGTCTTCCTCTATGTACTGCTGTGTGTGTGTGTGTGTGTCTTTGTTGCAAATTTAAAATTGCATTTTGAAGTCAGCCAATCATTTTTTTCATCTTTAAATTTTCTAAATGACTTTAATTTTCTCCATGATGTGGTCAAATCAGCAGTGACTTTAATTTGTGTCAGCTGGTAGAGATCTTCATGTTTTAATCAGCAAACTGTCTAATGAGTCGTACTTCTATGTGAGTTGCAGCTGTAAGAAGTGCATTTTTAAATTATCGTCTAAACTACATTATTAGAACTTCACTTTCGCTGGTGCTTTTAGGTTTGCCAGCTGTTCATTATATATCATATAATGCTCTGCAAGTGGCCATATTTTTTAATTTAAAATACCTATATAGTTGTATTAACTTAAAATACGTTATAGTGTGCTTAGTATGCTAATATTGACTGAAAGCAGTGGTTCCCAACCTGGGGGTCAAGACCCCCAGCAGGGGTTGCCAAAGCTTCATAAGGGGTCGCGAGGCCTTCTTGATTTGAAGGGGTATAAGAAAACTACACAGTAGGCCTATGTTTCAGCATTTTATTCATTTCTATTGAAGACATGAACACAAGTTATATTCACAGTCTTCACTCTCTGATAAACAGACTCCTCATGCATTAAAACAGTACGCAGTTAAAACAACCAAAAAGCAAAGAGAACAGAGAGAAGAAAACACTTAATTTGTCAAAAAAAGAAGCAGTATGTATGATTGTTAAAAAAAATGAATAAATATGTGTAATAAAAAGAGTTTTCTAAAAATATCAGGGAAACTTATCTCTGATGCTCACAGGAAATAATCTGCTCAGTTTAACACTGATGCCTCTATATGACATACATAAACACACCAGACCATCAGTGAGAACATCGGCTATTTATATATAGGTATTCTTAATATCTGCCACCAGGACAGATTTGGTCAGATTCCCCTTGAAATCAATTAATAGAGGCAGTGGAAGCACTACCACTTCTGTCCACAGGGGCCGCCAGAATGAACAGAAAATGAAAGTTCCTTGTTGCTGCTTTAACTATTAATAAAATTATTTATTTTGTGCAGCAAATAACATACTCTGACAGATTTAAGGTTGATTGTCACAGTGAGTTGCTCCATCTGAGAGGTGGAACGTAAGTCTCTTTGAAACTTGATATGACGAAAGAAGATAATATTGATTCTCTAAAATCAATCAACTGGTTGACAGTGGGAATTAATACTTCATGCTGCAAATACTGACACATGTTCGTATTGTGTTCTCTGTGTTTTGTCCTTTCCACAGCACCAAGCAGCTGCGTGGTGACTGAGTGGGGTGAGTGGGACCCCTGCAGCGTCACCTGTGGTTTGGGTATGAGGAGACGTGAGCGCATGGTGAAGATGCCGCCTATAGACGGATCGATGTGTAAGACCGAGGTGGCCGAAGTGGAGAAATGCATGATGCCAGAATGCCGTAAGTCATCAGATATTCATTTCTTTTCTATCCAATTGTGTTGTAGTATAATTGGTACAAGTCATCAGCTTTTTTACATGAATATTTGTTACAAACTGATGAGTATGAATCAGGTTAGTTAAATAGTCATTATTAATCGTAAAGCACAGAAATAAAGTTTAACCTGATCATTTGCACTAACTGTTTGTACACATGTGCTTGCGTGTGAGCAGATACCATCCCTTGCATGCTGTCACCCTGGTCTGACTGGAGTGAGTGTAGTGTGACGTGTGGGCGGGGCATGCGAACACGCCAGAGGATGCTAAAGTCTGATCCTGCAGAGTGCAACGAGGAGCTGGAGCAGACGGAGAAGTGCATGCTGCCCGAGTGCCGTAAGTAACTGAAGTAGTACAAAACTGCTGCTTTTCATTTCCTAACTTTCAAAGAGAGTTGTTAAATGCATGTCTAAGTACATGAAAGGAGAAAGTTGACCCCGGTTCCAAATGGGTGGGACTTTTAAAATGTGTAATTTTCTTTTACCCACTCTGTTAATCTGCGTGTCAACAGTAGCCCAGCCACACTTATCATCCGCATATCATTTGGCCCTATTACTTTCCCATCTCCCTAGATTTATTCTCCGTATCCACACTACATTTTAGTAATTATTTGGTATGCCCCCTTCACCTTCCCTCTGACATTGGTAATATGTAGAGCCATATGTCACAGAGGTGGAAACCTGTAGAGTGAGGGGGAGCAGAGGATTAAAAATGGCAAACACATTTGCTTTGAGCAGGCCTGAGGATGGAGAATAATGAATTTGCAGGGAATTCAGACTGAAAGTAGCCCTGCAGGGGGCTGTGGTGGTGGGGCCCTGTTCAACTTTTTTGCTCTTTCACAGCAGCCATTTTGACATGAAATAGTAGGTTAATCACAGTTACTAATTAAACCAATTTGTTCCATTTAGTGTAGCAGAGCCTTTCCATTGAGTTAACATGCACAACAGCACCTTGACTTTGTTTGACCTGAATGGAACGGAGCCTTAATTAGTATCATTGATAATATCTGTGTTTACCCTACTTTTTTCATGTCACAATGACTGCTGTGAAAAAGATTTATTTGAAATGGGACGAAAATGTATCTAAAAAGTCCCCCCCAAGTAATTTTGGGAATTGGGCCGTATTTCTGCCAGAGCAGTTTGAGGAGGGTCATAAGGCTTAATTAATCTCCTCCATGATCAATAAACTGCCAGTTGTATGATAAGTTGCATTTCTGACAGTTTCAGTTTTGGTCGACTGTCCTTCAGCTTGAGCAGTTATATAGTCTGATTTCCCACATGGCTGCTGTCAAAAGATTGGAGAGCTTGTTTTACTATTACTGGAGCAGTATTTTACATGCTGTGGATAAAACTGTGGTTTTAAGACTTGAGAACAGGCACCACATTCTCTTCATCTTCCATCTGCAGTTCCATATTTGTTTTTTTTCCTTACTTTATTTGAAGCATCTGCTTTTCCTTTACTGGTCCTTCCTCTGACGCTTCCTCCTGTTCTCCTCCTTCTGTTCTTCCCTCCAGCCGTCGACTGCATGCTCTCCGAGTGGTCAGAGTGGTCCGAGTGCAACAAGTCCTGCGGTAAAGGACATACCATTCGGACCCGTATGCTCAAACTGGAGCCGCAGTTCGGGGGCAGCGCTTGTCCCGAGACCATCCAGAGGAAGAAATGCAAGATCAGGAAGTGCGGGAAAAAATCAAAGGAGACGAGAGGACATAGAGTTGAAGGTGGAGGAGGAGGAAGAGGAGGAGGAAGAAATAGAAGGAGACCGGGTGCACGGGGAAGACAAGGAGCAGAGGAGGAGCCAGGTTGGTGGGAATAATCTAGTTTATTGTCATTATTGTTAAAGCTGCTACATGAGACCAGAGTTGAGATGCTACTGTCGTTTGTCCCAACAGGTTGCAGGATGCAGCCGTGGACCATCTGGACGGATTGCACCAAACAATGTGGAGGGGGGATCCAGGAGCGTTTCATGGCAGTGAAGAAAAGAGCTAAAGGCCCTCAGATGTCCGGCTGTAAGGACCGGAAGGAGATCCGTGCCTGTAACGTTCATCCCTGCTAGGGGGCACTACTGAGCTGCAGAGGAGGGGAGAGGAGCAGCAGGATAAATACATGAGTTATGAATAAATGGGTTTATTTGATAAAGATGATGATGGGGAGGAACTTTTTGTGTACAGAGGGGTGAGGATGATGTTTGACACTTTGGAAAAAGGAGATGAGTGTAGGTAAGGAGAGGGGAAGGGAGAAGACAGGAGGATAAAAGGAGAAGAAGATAATGTGCTGTGTAGTGAAGCCATTGTAGGCATTTAGTTAACAGGGCTGACTTTTACTTTAGACCACAATGGAAGTATTAGAGAGTAATGTCTGTGTCCTGCAAAAAAATAAAATCAGCTTTTCAGGAATTTTGAGAAAAAAAAACTTCAGTAGCTTTGCCATTGAAACATGTGACTTTTTTGTGTAATTTCAGCAGTTTTGGCCCCTGGGGTATGGAATAGGGTTGGGACTGAGATTTGCTCAAAACACACTGACACTGGGATTTCTGGCATGTGTCTGCTTCGTACTTCCTGACACAAAGATGCCTTCTCCAAACATCATTACTGATACCAAGCAAGTGTTGTAGCTATTGTCCCCATTTGAAATGCTATCATTATCGTAATATAACTGGATGGACTTATTTGTTTTAGCAGCTTCTTACGATACTTATCCGAGTTAAAATGGCAGCCTGTTGCTGTGTGGCATATTATTTGTAGAATAGGTGTGAAGCAGCAGAGTAATCTGGAAATGCAAACAGTGCAGGTGGTTCAACTATCTTAACCAGCGATGTATTTACCATATACCTAACTAACCACATAGTGAAATTGGTCTGGAAGCCACTTACAACCCATGACATAGCCATATCTCAGCTAACTGTATGACCACAGCTGGCCCTGTTCTGGCTCTGTGTTGGACCAGACAGGTTTAAGCACTGGTTCCGGATGTTGACTTAACCTTAACCAAGACACTTCATTAATACATACACTTGTCATAAATTGCTAAGATGAAAAATGCTGCCAGCAACAGTACCATGAACTAAATATTTATTGATTTTTCACATCACGCCATTTGCAACACTGTAAAATGTCATGTCACTCTTCCTCTCTTCTCTTCTCACTTCATGTGTTGAAAGTAGTTAAATGAGTAAAGCCAGCCAACACTGAACACTTGTAAACAGTTTCCTACAAAGAGTGCTGAAACTTGTGTGTCCAACACAGGGCCAGAACAGGGCAGCAATGGTCATACAGTTGGCTGGGATATGGCTATGTCATGGGCCATTTGTGGCTACCAGATCTGGCCCACATGTGGACCACAGTTCATTGCTGTATTTGGGCTGAGTGTAGGGCCCGGACCAGTTTTGCTCTGTGGGTAAAACAGCCAGAGATATGTAGATCTTATGCAGGTATGTTGCAATCTCAATGTTATCTTTGGTATTTTCGAGGCATAAAAGACTTTTGTTCCCTGACTTTAGCCTTTAAGGCAGGCAACATAAGGACACCCTTAAAAAGGCACCAAGCCTGGGGAGAAGAGCTGTCTTAAGGACCAACAAAAGTCCCATCGCTTGTTGTAATTTCAACACCCATGAGCTTCATGGAAGTGGATGATTATAGTTTAAGCTAGTAGGCTGCTGTGGGCACACACAATTACAAATATGAAGCAAACACAGCGAGGCACAATATCAAACACAAGGACAATGGTAACACATGCGAGCTACAGGAAGGACATTCCCACTGCGCGTTTTTGTCATCTCAAAGATAATTTACTTCTATTAAGAGCACTTGTTGTTCTACTACCACATGACGAATAACATCAGACAAATAATAATCACAATCAATCCCATCAAACTGTCAACCATAGTATGGAGTACTATTTGTTGTCAGCTGTCCCTTATTGAGAGAAAGCGTAAACAGACTAAACTGAAGATGTAGGATTTTTGCAAGACATAGATGCTCACACAGAAAGTCTCTAAAGACTTATGGATGTACTGTATATCTACTATCTAACCAACACCTATAAATGACACTACTATGTAAGTACTAAAAACCACTTTCCCTAATAGACAGATACATTTAAATGGAGATGTTTTATACTGTTAAAATTAGTCTTTATATACTGTACTGCTGTTTATCTGTCGTTTCAGCTGATGTAGCATTAAACCTGCGCTAGCTCTCAGATCTTCTTTTAGCATGTGCAAAGGTGATTATGTTTGGTTGGACATTCTGCTTTCTCTGCCGTAGATGTAGTCTTAAAACAGATAGCTAAATGACTGTACCCGGTTCCTGAAAACACAGACCGACGGAGCCGTAGAAGTGTCCACTGGTGCAAAGAGGTTGTGTGGAGAACATTGCAGAGCTTTCTACAGTAGCAAGAACTGTAGGACAGCTCAACATACAGTAGACTGTTACTGGGGCCTTGGTTACACACACTTTATTTTCATGTACTGTTTTTATTGTGCTTTTCATTGTATTGCCATCATGAGAGTGATCTGTAAAATCTTTTCTAGTATTACTTTAGATTACGTTGCAGGTTTTGTTCTGTTTTAATAAAAATGTCATCACCAAAGTTCTATTTTCTGTAGATGTTTTCTTGACTTTTCTGATTTCAGGCCTCTGTCTTTTGTTTCTTTGCCTCTGTATCACGTGACTATTTTCTAAGAAACCACCTTTACAATAAAAAATGTAAATGTGAACATCAAGACGTCATTGGACTCGTTTTGATCGATCAATGTTCTGTTTGGGTCAGGCTTTCAACACAACATTGTTTTATTTAATTGCTTATGAATATGATTTTCGACACAGACACAGTGGTCCTTTGTTTTAAAAATAACAAAAGGGATGCTTGTATAAAAACACATATTTCCTGACTCCTCGGGCCTTACTATGTACTTACAATATCAGTCCACTAGATGGAGCTATAAGACTGAACGCACATAACTCATTGTTAAGATGTTCCTGGCTGCAGCATTCAAACTCATAGTGTCTTAGTATTTTAATAACTGATATTATACAATATAGTTTCATCCTTGCTCCCCTGTATTATTACTGTTCTTTGTATCCTGTGTTTTTACAGTTGACTCCCATTGTTTCTTCATTTAAAAAAAAATCAGTTTACAGACATAAACATAAACACCCTGAAACAATAGGAGGGTTAAAACCATAGTACCAGATGATTCATCATGCACAAACGTGTATGTATATATATATTAAAGGGGCAACTTGCACCTAATAAAGATTAGACTTAGAATCCTCAGTACAGGGTCAAGTCCCATAATGTAACTCAAGTGCTTCAACTCCCCCCCCGTCAGGGAAATACCAGTTCTTTCAAACTCCACACCCCAAGTTGGCAACAGGCTTTCTGTTATACATTTGAAATCTCCAAGCCCATCCTGAGATAACCCCGATGACATCGCTATGACATTCTCAGGGGTTATTTTCTCAGACAAAGCTCCCCCAGAGCCCCAACAAGCCATTATTCAGCACTTTTTAGATGTTGAGTTGATTTCACCATAAGTAGTAAATTTATTTTGACATTTCTCTTTAATAATCCAGACAAAGGGGATACGGCTGCCCTGACAAAACTGTGTGTTAGGTCTAAGTTTAGAGTTCTTCTTTGTGCACTTAAACCTAATGAGCTTGTTGAACCTCAAGCCTCAGATGCTGCCACTGACGTTATATTTCAGCCGCCTCCCGCCTGTTTAAGTGAACTACGCAATACAATGAGACATTAAGTGTTATGAAGTCAGCCCACATATCACAAGTAAAGGATGCTCGTGAATAATAAATGCTAGATGAAGTACAATGGATCTTTTTATCTACTAATGATCAATATTGAATGATGTTTTGCAGCAGTTGGGTTGTGGGCATGTTGTTTCAACTCATACAGCGAGGGCAACAATTAGACATGCTTTCAGTTTCTGACAGAGTATCAGGCAGAAGCACTTTGTGACAGTTGCCATGATAATGGCTGCAGTCTGTTTCCTTTAAAACCTGAACTGAAAAGTTTTTCTGTGGATGTGCATCCTAGAGCAGTAGAGGGGGAGCATTCAGTTCAGATATTCAATAATTTAACATCTTTAACCCCACAGATTTATGTTCAAAGCAGCAGGGCTTTTCTTTTTTTTTGTAGGATTATATATATACCAAATACAAAATTATAGTAAACATATAAATATAATGTTTGTTTGTTTGATGAAGTCAGACAGGCCCGGCATAGACCACTATGAGGGGTATCAAGGGGGTTTTCGACTAAGGCAGCAGCCAGAACCAGCAGGGTCGCTGTCGCTGATTCCACCCCCTCAGTACCCCTTAATAGGGCCCACCGCCGGCAGTCAGTTCAGATGCACAGACACAACACCGGGAGATTTAAAAGCTGCAGCCTGTCTGCTGTTTATATGTTAACTTAAGTCATTAGTGTTCACAATAAGTCCAGAGAGCAGAGGAAGAGTCATGTCTCATGTTCCCTCACAAACTTCCTCTCAGTCAACAGCTCGGCCCTCCCTGTCTGTCACAGTGCTGCTGTTAGCTCTACACACAAACAGGTGACAATGATAGATAGCAGCAGCAGCTAGCTCCCTGCAGGGTAGCTGAGAGCAACCTGATGAAGATGAACATGGTGGAGGAATACTGTTTGAGTTTGGCTGCAGTGGATTCAGGGTATCGGATTGGATTTAAACTGGCAGCTGCTGGAAGGAAACCTCATTGGTAAGTTGTTTCATATTCATTATTTGTGATCGGCTGTTATAGATGCTATCTGGGTTTTATTAAAAAATAATCTTGTGTGTTGCTGCTTGTTGTAGACCGCAGTGTCTGTTGGGTTGTTGTAGTAAAGGCAGGACACACCTGTAGTTTGTTGTCCTGTGTGGGTGTGGCTGTGTAGGTTATATGGCTGTGTGACTCCAGCATGAATGTCAAACTGTGTATTCATTTGTCTTCTATCATTGGTTTCCTGCTGCTTCAGTCAGTCATACTTTTAGTCCCTTGTCTCTGTATTTTTCAAACTGCACAAAACATTCTGATAGGAAAAAGCCCATTTAAAGATCTCTAGCCGTGTAACTGAAAACCTCATAAATGGTACATTTCTAATGTTTAGAATCCATCACTAAATGCATTTTTCTCTCATCATCATGCAATAACAATAAGATGGTCTTTTTGATAAGCTGGACTCAAATTTTAGTCAGAAACATGTGCTTGTACTTCACTGATGGTCCTTGTACTTCCCTGAGGAAGGCAGCCAACTGCACTGATCAAATCCTTTCCCAGAGGACCTAAATTTACATTTTTTAGTGTACTTATTGGAGTATAATTTATTTTAGGAATAATGCATGACTGAAATTTCTGGGGAAAAAAGTAATGTAGCAGCTCTACAAAGTACCCCTAGGGGTACACAGGCCCCATATGAGAAATGCTGCTGACCAATAGCCTATCAGAAGATGTGCTGCTTGAATATCAGCAGGTTGCTGTTCAATGATAAATCCATGCCACTGTCCATGGTGCTGAACTAGCACACCACATTGTAATCTGCACTTCTCTCTGTTCCGCCCTTCCAGCCCATAGGCTGTATGTGGGCCCAATGCAGGTCCTTGCCCCCTCTGCAAATGTAGGTAGGTGAGTGTGTAGCTGTATCTTGATCTGTGTGTGTGTGTGTGTGTGTGTGTGTGTGTGTGTGAGAGAGAGTGTAATCAGATTTGTAAATGTGTAAAAGAAAATCTCCAAATCTTTATTAAGATTTGTAAATGTGTACATAACTCTGTAAATGTGTATATAGATCTTAAATGTGTGGATAAATCTTTAAATGCAGACATTTATATTAATGGCTGAGAAGTATTTGCTCCAAGAGCTGGACATACAGACATTAGTTACAACTCAGGCGGGACTCTTAATTTGCTCTTTTTACAGTGACCTTTGCTTCACTTCTGCTGTGGCAGAGATCTGCAAAATGTGTGTGGTGATGTGTGTGTGTGTGTGTGTGTGTGTGTGTGTGTGTGTGTGTGTGTGTGTGTGGAGAGATTTGTCTGTGTGCCTTAGTAGTTATACAGCCTACATACCACCACTCAGCGGTAACGTATCATTGCTGCACTGTCTATCGCTTTTCAACGTACTTTAGATGAAAACAGGAAAATAGGGGCACTGAATAAGAGAATAAGATATGTGAGGTGTACATAGCTGTATGGGATGTCAAAAAGTAAATAGTAATTACCTGAAAATACAGATCGTTGGGTTTTTGTTACCTTAGAATGAGCTGCATTAACGAGGGAGAGGGTCGGCGTCCATAGATGTTGAACCGACATGTTTCTACAGTAGTTCAGAAAGGCTCCAGACACTGGCTCCAGGTAGGGCCTTTCCCGTTTTCTTTTTTGCGAGTTCTGCAGCCAACGTAGTTTCTCCTACATGCTTGGAAGGCCCTCCAATGGAAAGAACATCTGAAATGAAGTCTATTTATTAACAACTTCCAGTATCAACATTTACAACAGCACTTTTAATGGCTCATTAGAATGTGAGTAAGTCACTAATAAAGGTTCCTCAGTTTACAATAAGCCGATTTGCAGTTAATGTCAGTAATCAATTAATAAAGGATTTTCCACTACAATAATCCATGTAAGTCTGCAGCCCAGAAACCAATCAGACACTACTGTATCTTAATGGTTGATCTGAGCCCTTACGGGCTCATTATGCGCTTGTAGTGGTAAATCTGTGAGAAATGTGGGGCAGCGCACACACACACACACACACACACACACACACACACAAAAACAGCACACATTCAACATCTACTGCTCTTTTCAGCTCTCCATCTCCAAATGTTTCATCCTGCTCTGCCCTCAGGTGTTAAAGGACTACCATGAAATCCTTAAGGAACTCAGCTTTCGCCTTATCTCTAAGAGAAACTATATGTTTTTGAAGGAAAAGGGGAGGTGCTAACCATCTGTGTGTTTGTACAGATCACAACTTCATCATACCCAAAACCTTTTGAGGATAAAACGTACCTGCTGTAGACCTGAAGTGGCTCTTGATATATATTTCATCACAGACAAGCCCCCAGGAAGAGCACCGGGGTTTTAAGGCAATCTGACATTGTGGCATAACATGTGTGATAACAGCAATGATGTCCGTCACGTGATACACACTGGCCCAAAAAGACTTTTTTCCATAAGGTTAGATTGTGAAAGAAGCGTCTATAAAACGGTGAATAAATAGTTTTTGAGTGTCACAACGCCTGGGAAATGACTTCAGTCTGATAACATTTCGAAAGTGTAGAAGATCACGATTAAATCATTTATCCCCATTTAAGTTAACAGAGGGCTAATCTGGAAGTTAGCTGTTCAGCCCACAGAAGTCTCTAGTCTCTAGAGCACATCCTCTATGGGCCACTGTGGCCCACTGTTCCCTGTCCTTTGAATGTTCAGTATGTTCCATGTAGAGAAGATTGGACGAGAAAGACTAAATCATTAAAGGAAAAGTTTGACATGTTGGGAAAATGGATGATACTGTCGTACAGTGCGCTTTGGAGAGAGAAAATAGAGAGGGGAAGAGAAGAGCCAGGTCAGAGAAAATGACACAAGGTGTCCAAAGTTTGGGATCATTTCAAGCAGAAACAAAAGGAAACCTCTGCACAGTGTGTCTGTTGTAAAACCGAACTAGCCTAGAACAACAGCTTGAGGTGCTTCACTGCGAAAAACTAGTTAGCTAGCAGATTCAA